TGGGGCATTTATCCTTTAATAAGATTATTTAGTTCCACATGCGACAAGCATAACGAAGCACCTACATATAAAATTGAGATTTGAAAACAGCTCCACTACCAGTTTATCAAGTTTTATTACCTCAGCAATGTAATTTAGTAGTTCAGTTCGAATAATTAAAAGAAAATATAATATATCACATTCGAGGCCTACCTTTTTAGTAGAAAGGACACCAAAGTTGTCATACGCAGAGAAAACCCTAATGAAAAGTTGATAATAACGGTAATTAAAGCACATAAAGAAGGCACAAATTTAACGTGATTCGGTCAACGAGACCTACGTCCACAAGCGGAGAGAAGCAATTTTACTATACCAACAAGAGTACAAAAAGAGAGTATAAAATTAGAGTAAATACTCTAATTAGTCCCAAATACCCCAAGAGAATAACCTCACAAGATCACTCCAAAGAAAGGGCTCACACAAGTGTTTCCCAACACTCACTCTCTTACAAAATACTCTATAATGAAAAGGAAGGCAAAAGCTAGTAGAAATACTTCTACTTTTGTATCTGAAGGTGTGTTTGAAATGAGAAATATGGGCCCCCTTTTATAGGACCCAAACTTGGGCTCCATGAACTAATAAAAAGAAAAAGGAAATTGATCAACCAATCTCTACACACAATGATACTTTGGCTCTAAGTAAAAATATTGCCAGCCAACTCTTCTTCCAAATAGGCTTATGCCTATATAAAATGGACCCCACTAGCCAAAAAGATTGGCCATATTACAAATCTCCACATTGGCCTAATTTTGGCTGATATAGTAAATTTGCTCCACCTTCTCCGCAAAAGCCCCAATGGGCAAAATCATTCTTCATAAATGCCAATCAAGTTCAGGCAAAGCTTGAACTTGGACACTGGAAGAGGTTTCATGAACATGTCAGCAGGATTGTCTCTAGTGTTGATCTTCTGAATAGAGACTTTTCCATCAGCAATGGTTTCCCGGATAAAATGGTACTTGATATCAATATGCTTCGTTCTCTCATGATACATTTGGTCTTTAGTCAAGTGATGGCACTTTGACTATCACAAAAAATGATAATACCACCTTGGTGTAAACCGAGTTCAGCAAAGAGACCCTTTAACCATAAGGCTTTTTTGATAGCCTCGGTCACTGCCATATATTCTGCTTCGGTAGTAGATAAAGCTACTACATGTTGTAATGTAGCTTTCCGACTGATAGCGCAACCACCAGTGCAAAATACGTAGCCTGTTAGTGATCTTCTTTTGTTAAGATCACCTGCATAATCTGAGTCTACAAAACCAACTAAGGTATTAGTATTTCTCCCGAACCCAAACATGTGTCTGAAGTACCTCGCAAGTATCTGAGAATTCATTTCAGAGCCTGCCAATCGGCTCACCACACTTACTGACTGCGAAATATCTGGGCGTGTGCACACCATTGCATACATAATACTGCCAACTGCACTGGAATAAGGTACCTGTGCCATATACCTCTCTTCTTCTTCTGACTGCGGTGACTGAGCAGCTGATAAGTTAAAATGAGCAGCAAGAGGGGTACTTGCTGGTTTAGCATCTTTCACGCCAAACCTCTCCAAGACTTTCCCCCGAGTACTTCTGGGTCAGGAATAGCTTGTTGGCTCCTCGATCTCTTTTGATCTCCATGCCAAGGATTTTCTTAGCGGCTCCCAAATCTTTCATCTCAAATTCACTTTTCAGCTGACTTTTCAAATTGTGAATTTCTGTCAAATCCTAGCAGCAATGAGCATGTCATCAACATATAATAATAGGTATACAAATGAACCATCATTTAACTTCCGGAAGTAAACACAACTATCATACATGCTCCTCGAATAACCATGACCCAACATAAATGAATCAAACATTTTATACCATTGTCTTGGAGACTGCTTTAATCCATACAAGGATTTCTTTAACAAGCAAACATGATCTTCTTTTCTTTCAATTTCAAATCCTTCGGGTTGATGCATGTATATTTGTTCCTCAAGTTCACCATGTAAGAAAGCTGTCTTAACATCAAGTTGTTCTAATTCCAAATCATACATGGCAACTAAGGCAAGCAAGACACGGATAGAGCTATGTTTAACAACAGGTGAGAAAATATCATTAAAATCAACCCCTTGTACCTAGCTATAGCCCTTTGCAACTAATCGTACCTTATACCTCGCATCTTCAACCCCTGGAATGCCTTCCTTTTTCTTGAAGACCCACTTGCAACCAACAATTCTCTTTCCTGATGGCGGCTTCACAAGAGACCAAGTACCATTCTTGTGGAGAGACTCAATTTCTTCATTCATTGCAATCAGCCACTTGGCTGAATCAGCACCAGAAACACCAGAAACTGCTTCTGAATATTTTGATGGTTCTCCAATTTCTTCAGTTTCCTGTGCAACTGAAAAAGCAAATGAAACATAATCTCCTAACTTTAATGGTTGTTTACTTTCTCTTCTTGGTCTATGTTTGGCTATAGAATACTCTTCTTCTTCTGGTTCAACTTCAGGAGTCTCAACTTCAGGAGTTTCAACTGTATTTGCTCCAAAGTTGATGAGCTTGGCTCAAAAGGAATGCCAATCTCAACCTCCACCTGCTTTTGTGTACTCTTCCCTTTATCTGTATTAAAAGAACTACAAGAATCTTTTCTAGGATGTAACATAGAGGATTCATCAAAGGTTACATCTCCGCTAATTATAAATTTTGGTGCCATGGGATCAGGATACCATAGTCGGTATCCTTTCACCCCAGATGCATACCCAAGGAAAATGCACTTTTTAGCCCTTGGCTCTAATTTTCCATCATTTACATGCATGTATGCAGGGCAACCAAATATCTTTAAATCAGAATAATTAGCAGGAGTACCTGACCACATTTCCTCTGGAGTCTTAAAGTTTAAGGGTGCAGAAGGAGCATGATTGACAATATAACAAGCTTTAGAGATAGCTTCTGCCCAAAAGGCATTTGTCAACCCAACATTTGAAATCAAGCAACGAGCCCTTTCCAATAGAGTTCTATTCATCCTTTCTTCCACACCATTTTGCTGAGGTGTCATTCTCACAGTACGGTGTCGAGCAATTCCTTCATTCTTGCAAAATTCGTTGAATTCATCATTACAAAATTCCAAGCCATTATCTGTTCTAAGCCGCTTAACCTGTTTTCCTGTTTGCTTCTCAATCAAAACTTTCCATTGTTTGAAAATTAAGAAAACATCACTTTTATTTTTCAGGAAATAAACCCAAACTTTCCTTGAATAATCATCAATGAAAGTTAACATATACCTTGCACCACCTTTTGACGGGGTACGGGAAGGACCCCTAACGACCTGAATGAATGTAATCTAAAGTACCTTTTGTTCTATGAATTGCTAGAGATTTGAAGCTGACTTTTTCTGCTTCCCGAACACACATTGTTCACAGAACTCCATATTTCTGGTACTTTGGCTACACAGTAGACCCTTTTGCTGAGGATGGAAAGACCTTTTTCACCGGTATGCCCCGATCGCATATGCCACAATTTGGTGATGTCAGAATTTGATTTATCTGATGTTGAAGCTGCAGCAACACCTGTAACAGTAGATCCCAATAGAGTATACAACGTACCAGATCTGCGTGCTTTCATGATCACAAAAGCACCATGAGAAACTTTCGGGATTCCACCTTCACCTGCGTACTTGCACCCAAGAGATTCTAGAGTACCCAAAGAGATGAGATTTTTCTTCAAGTCAGGAACATGTCTAACATCGGTGAGAGTTCTCACCACACCATCATGTATTTTGATTCGGACTGTACCTTTACCAATAACATTGCAGGCAGCATTGTTGCCCATCAAGACACTCCACCTTCAACAGATTCATATGTGGTAAACAAATCCCGATTGGGACACATATGATAAGAACAACCCGAATCTAAAATCCACTCATTGTTAGATTTAAAACAATTATTAGTTGCTAAAAAAATAGTCCCTCAGTCTCATCAGCAGCTACACTTGCTTCGGCAGTGTCAGCATTTTTATGCTCATTTTTCTTTTCTGTATGCTTTTCTTTGTTTTTCAACTTAAAGCATTCAGAAGTAATGTGGCCTTTCTTATGACAGTATTTGCATATGACATCTCTGTATCTGGATTTTGACCTTGATTTAGGTCTCTCACTACTTAAATCTTTCTTATTGGATCTACCTCTTACAAACAAGCCTTCCCCTTGGTTCCCGCTTGTTTTCCCGATAATATCTCTATCTATTTGTTCTTTTAATTTCAAAATAGATTTGATATCTTTATAAGAGATATTATCATTTCCATAAAGCATAGTATCTCTAATATGCTTAAACGACTGGGGCAAAGAAACAAGCAATAATACGGCTTGATCCTTATCTTTGATTTTAGAATCTATGTTACTTAAATCCATAAGAAGAGAATCGAAAGTATCGAGATGTGTAAGTATAGAGCTACCTTCAGCCATATGAAAAGTGTAGAGTTTTTGCTTTAGGTAAAGCCTGTTTTCTACTGTCCTTTTCATATACAGGGTTTTCAGCTTTTCCCATATGCCTTTGGCTGAGCTTTCTGTAGCAACTTCACGCAAAAACTCATTTGAGAGATTTAAAATTATACCTGTTTTTGCCTTTTTGTCAATGACGGCAAACTCCTCGTCCGTCATTTTTTCCGGCTTCTTCTACTTTCCTTGTAGTGCCAAATCTAAGCCATCCTGAATTAGGATAGCTTCCATCTTTAATTGCCACATTCCGAAGTTTGCACTTCGGTCAGATTTCTCAACATAAGTCTTTGTTAGAGTCATTTTGGCTATTTAAACTAACCCGGTTAGATCCGGCTCTGATACCAATTTGTTAGGATTGAGAACCCGGGTAGTGCGGAATTTAGCCAAACAATGTAGTAATGAAAATAACAAAGACAACAAGTTGATAATAACGGTAATTAAAGCACATAAAGAAGGCACAAATTTAACGTGGTTCGGTCAAGGAGACCTAAGTCCACAAGCGGAGAGAAGCAATTTTACTATACCAACAAGAGTACAAAAAGAGAGTACAAAATTAGAGTAAACACTCTAATTAGTCCCAAATACCTCAAGAGAATAACCTCACAAGATCACTCCAAAGAAAGGGTTCACACAAGTGTTTACCAACACTCACTCTCTTACAAAATACTCTATAATGAAAAGGAAGACAAAAGCTAGTAGAAATACTTCTACTTTTGTATCTGAAGGTGTGTTTGAAATGAGAAAGATGGCCCTCCTTTTATAGGACCCAAACTTGGGCTCCAAGAACTAATAAATAGAAAAAGGAAATTGATCAACCAATCTCTACCACACAATGATACTTTGGTTCCAAGTAAAAATATTGCCAGCCAACTCTTCTTCCAAATAGGCTTATGCCTATATAAAATGGACCCCACTAGCCAAAAAGATTGGCCATATTACAGAAAATTTTGACCTTATTCACTGAACCAGCCTCCACCAGTTCTTTCTCCATAGCCAGGGTACTTTTATAAGCTAACTCTCCCACGAAAGATACCCAACACTTAACCAGGTTCTCTTGAACAATGTAGTTTATATTTACATACTTCCTCTCCCAAAACTGTATGCAGCTCTGAAGTGAATTTAAGCCCCAAACTCCGTCCAAGAGGCACAGCCAATTAAACCAAATCAAAACTCTGAGGCAAGTGCTTAGGCAACCTTTTAACTTGCAAGTCAAAAAGTAAAAGGAGGATACGCTGTTTTCAATAATAGCAACCAGGCACTTGTTCGTATACAGTACAAGCATTTTTAAGCTACAGGGACTGGAAGCTGCAGAATTACCTGCTGAGGAAAATCTCCGTTTTCTAGCTGAGCATTTATTAATACTTTTGCTGCATGGTGTAATGGCGTGGGATTTCTCTCAGCCTGCAATTGTTTAAAGGGAAAAAAAGTAAACTTCAGCAAAAGAGGTGGCCATTTTGATTTATAGTTTCACATCTCAGTAATTTATAAGGATGTGTTTGAGCAGAAAGGGATGACAACCCTCAATTATAATCACTAAGCAGAAGATTCCAACATTTCAAAGATGTACAAAAATATTCAGCTGAAAGGTGTATGCAGATCCAACAATTTGGGATGTATTATAACACAAACATTCTGCTTGAACATTTCTGTCTCAGTATCTCAAATTAGGACCAACCATGTAAATCAACTTACTAGGAAATGCCAAATGCTTCATTAAGTTCTTTCAATGTATCTTGTTAAAAAGAGCAATTTAAAAGTAAAGAAAAGTCAAGAGCAGAAGAAATATGTCCCCAGAAGCAAGGAGTATGCCCGCGTGTTTCAAAGAGAACACCCTAAAGCACACCATTGAAGACTCAAGAAATAACATTTCACTGTTGATCCCAAAGCCCCCCCCCCCGCCCCACACACACACACTACCTCC